CAAATTCATATCCATTCTCAAGAAATTAAAAAAAAACATGGCCTGATTTATTTTGTCTTATGCCCCTGCCCCAAATCACATTCCATATCCTGAGCTGTAATTTGATAATTGCAAGGTGACCCTTTGGGAGCATAAACTCTAGACTAGTTCTTCTCAAACTTTAGTGAATATAAAAATTACTCTGAGAAGTTTTTTAAAAAGATACATCACAGATTATGCTCAGTGAAATAAGCCAGGTGGAGAAAGACAAGTATCAAATGATTTCACTCATCTGTGGAGTATAAGAGCAAAGCAAAAACTGAAGGAACAAAACAGCAGCAGACTCACAGAACCCAAGAATGGACTAACAGTTACCAAAGGTAAAGGGTGGGGAGGATGGATGGGAAGGGAGGGATAAGGGCAATAAGGGACATTATGATTAGCACATATAATGTTGGAGGATGGCACAGGGAAGGCAGTATAGCACAGAGAAGACAAGTAGTGATTTTTATAGCACCTTACTATGCTGATGGACAGTGACTGTAATGGGGTATGTGGTGGAGACTTGATAATGGAGGGAATATAATAACCATAATGTTGCTCATGTAACTGTATATTAATATACCAAAAAGGAAAAAAGATACATACACAGATTCTAGGACTAAATGCCCAGAGATTTTAATTCTGGGTTTGGGGTAGGTCTAGGGTAGGGCCCAATATTTTCTAATTCTAAAGAAGTCCCCAGGCGATTCTGATGCCATATTGGTCCACAGCTTACATAGAATAGCACTATTCTGAGACCCTAACTCCTAAGCAATTTATGGTGAGCTGATGGCAAGGTACATTTTTATTTAATTCAGGGTATGAGTCACCAACTTTTGTGGGTACAGAGTAAGTACTATTTATCAACTGAAAGAAATTACTTGCACCTTTTCTACTATCCATAGGGAGCAAGGCACAGTAGTTAGAAGCCTAGACATGGGAGCCAGCCTGCCTGGATTTGAATCCTAGATCTGCCCCCAACAACTCTGTGACCTAGAGAAAGTTACTTAGGCACTCTGGGCCTCAATTTTCTCATCTGTAAAAAAAAAAAAAAATACCATATCCAACATTATAGAGTATGATTAAATTAATACTTGAAAAATGCTTAGAACAGTGCCTGCACTTATCATGCCATCAATAGATGTTGGCTGTTGCTATTATTAATGACATGTTAAGTGGATATAATAAAGTAGAATTAAAGGGGAAACTGTAGTGAGAAACATGAAGATGGCTAACATTGCTCAGGAACCATGTTGTCCAACCTCTCTACTTCTCCTTTTCCTTCTGCTGCCAAACTTCTGCCATTATGAGCACTTCCAGAGGAAAGAAAGGGATAAAGATGTTGGGGTGGGGCAGGTGGGGGGCTTATCAATTCTGTATTCTTTTCAGAAGTTCCAGGTAGAGATTTTATGTAATGATCTATGATATCTCTGGCTTTAATTACATGGATATTTCACAACATGTCTCAAGTTAACAATTACAGAAGAGCTCTCCTACAAATAATCACAGAGGCCAGTAGAGCTTTAGCAAGGAACACCTGAAAATTAGACTGATTGTAGAAAGTTACCAACTATATAAAAGTTACTTGACTGTCTAACAATGTGAAAATGTTTAAAGAAATCAAGAAATATCTGTACAACAGAGTATTATACAGGTATTAATGATTTTATGAAAACATTCTAATTACATAGGAAAAATGTTAGTTTTTGCACTGAGACAGATCCTAAATAAGAAACAGAAGACTGACAAGTTTTAAGTTCAAATTTAGAAAAGGAGAGCATCCTTAATTTAGAAGTATTTATTTTATTTTGTTTCATGACTAATGGTGTTTTATGCACTACACAAGCCAGGAAATAGAATAAATAGCCTGCCCCATAGGCTCACTATCTAAGAAAGATAAATTGAAATGCAACATCTAACAATTAACTGAGAAGTCATCCTCAGATATATTGTTGAATTCTTTCTCGTTATATAAATGTTAGAGTTATATAAACTGTAATGAGAAACATGAAGATGGCTAATGTTGTTCAGGAACCACGTTGTCCAACCTCTCTACTTCTCCTTTTCCTTCTAATGCCAAACTTCTGCCATTCAAGAAGAAATAAGTCTATTTCTTCTTTCTAGGACCTTACTTTCCAATAATTTTTTTCATCCACTCTGTGTTTATAAGCAAAACTTAAGTGAGAAAACATCAAGAAAATATTTACTTTGATTTAAGATTAAAATTAAAGAGGAGTACTGAAGAATAGTAGAGAACTTGATTTCAAGGAAATTGAAGAGAAAGTGCTTCCTGGATGAGGACTGTGACTCTAAAGAAAGATTAAGGAATAACATCTGAAGGAAAGATATTAAGAAGAAGCTATAATGAAAGAAGACATCTAAATGACATTGCATTTTATACCGATTACAATGAGAGCAGTGATAAAATATTACCAAAAGAGGCGTTGATTAAACACAGTGAAACATTAATAATTTGGGTAAATAAATACGATAAACTTTGGATAACTTAAATGCATCAATGGTAACTCATAAGTTTACTAAAGTTTCTTAATTAAGCCATTAGGGGATTGTTTAGTGAGTACAATATAAGGATAAGAGGTCAGATCTATAAGAGAAACTGACAAAAGTTTACTATATTCAATGACTATATAAATATCCTGATGGAAGAGGAATTAAGAGGCTGAGCTGTAATTAGAAAGCGACATTTATATATTCATTTACAGCAGTAAGATTTGTTAACCTACGGAAGTATTAGTCCATAATACTGTCAGATGAAAAAAAAAGTTTGACAACATATATAGAGAATCCAGTAAAGGAAAGAGGGTCAGGGAAGAGGAAAAAGCCAGGGGAGAAAGTAAGCAAGTGCAAAGGGGAGGCACTGCTGAAAGACCAAAAGCGAGGATGGTATTTTGTAGTGTAGGTGATCCTCTAAAACCTGGCCAAAGTGAAGCCATCTTGGTTACAGAAGTCATCTTAAAATTAGCTACTGGGCCACATTCCTGGGCTGTAGTCACAGGAGCGAGGAGGTCTCTCCCTGGTCTTTGTCACTTAGGATGAGGCACAAAGAACGCAGAAGTGCTTTGTGTCAGAAGAGAGACATCCAGGTAAGAACAACTCCAGGATGGCCTGCTTTTCTACACGTGTTCCTGTAGATGGCACCTTTTTCCTGACCCTTGATAAAAGCTAGCCTAACAGGAGAGTGGATGGGGACTTTGGCAGAGCAGCTGCCTGAGTGCCGTCCACCCCTCTGTAAGTGACCCCTCAGTAAACCCATTTACTTGCCAAGCTGGACTTGTCCGAGTCATTCTTTGGCCCGTTGGTTCCCTCACAATATGGAGGAAGGCACTTGTTTTATATCTCTCTGGGAAATTCACATGACATACCTATAATGTTCAACTAAGATATAACCAAGTAAATGGGAGAGTTAAGTGGTAAACTAAGAAAATTAATTCCGAATCTCTTTAAAATGTGAGTGTTTTTGGCCTTTACCCCTTGAATTCATTTCCCAGGAATTCTTAGAATCCATGTTTCCTAGATCTTGAGTTAAGATCCTTTGTGAACCAACTGCAAGGAAATTCCCAGGGAGTTAACTTATTGTTTGAATGAGGTCAACACCATAAGTCTGCCAAATCAGAGATGGTAATGCATACCAATTCTTCTTTTTTAAGGTTATACCTTACAAGAAGTGTATTATGTATGATCATGTTTGTGTTTACTGTTCAATATAATTAAATTAATGAAGCTTAAACTTATGAAGTCTTAGGAATTTGACTCTTTCCGCATGCATCCCTGGTTCTATGCTACATAAGTTTACATAGCAACTAATTTTGAGTTCCCAAGAATGTTCTTGGTTTGAAATACATCTTCCTTTTGATCCTTCTAAATGGAACAAATTTAATAGTAATTATGATGACAATTAGGATAATTTGAACTTCCATTTATACCAATTCAATTTCACAGAGATTTCATACAGACTATCTAATTTAATTAGCAATTGGTACATGGTATTAAACTGGTCTTCACAGCTGGTTTTAACTATATACCCTAGCATGGCATTTTAATATTAGCTTAACATTTCACAGGATTTTTAAGGTAAAAATCTATGTCATGCTCACAATCCTTTTACAACTGATACTTTAAAAAAGAGAATAAAACAATCAGATCACATATTCAAAGCAAAAACAAGATAATCCTATTTGAAAGCAAATACAGAATTTAGATTTAATTATCCAACATAATTAAATTCTTGAAAAATTCTACGCTTTAGGATATTTCCTTTCTATGAAAAGCAGACACTCAAAAATCATGTTAAATTTTTAAATATTCTAGGCTCAAACTTAGGAGAAATTATTCTTTTAAAGAAGTGAAAATAAGACCATTGCTTCTGCATGGATCACAGAAATATATTTAAAATGCTCCCATGTATATCAGTATTATTCTCAATGTCATGCTCTGCTACATGATGAAACAGCTTAAAGAAAAGGTTACAGTTATACACAAGTAATTGCCTCTAAGTTTCTGTGGGCCACAGGACTCTCCAATTAAACTAAGTCTTTAAATTAACCTCTAAATTATTCTGTATTGTAGAAAATTACAATTATTTTTCTACTATAGCTATCCACTAAAGACTATTTTGAATTTATTGCACTTTATCCTATCAGTAAAGTAGTTCTTTACAGAATTTTGTCCTAAAACTAGAATTATAGTTATTCCTTCTTTTTTGCCAGAGCAGAAAAAAAGAACAACTTAATTTTACTAATAGAACACTGCAGCATCACTTAGCTAAGCTAGAGAGGGCTGACATTTAAAAAATTAACAGCAGTTTTCGGCCCATATGAAATACCTGTTCCCTTATTTCTTTCATTTTTTCCAATCTCTTGAGTTTTGTTGCATATTCTTGAACTTCTTTTAATCCAATATCTGTACAGAGATGAACCAAGAAACGCAGACCTAAATTGTGAAAAATATTTTTAGAAAAGTATTTATGCACAGTGTTGAAAGTACAACAAATCAACAAATAGTCCTGGGACATGTAGGAATGATGCTCACAAATAGTGTTGGTTTCTCTTGAAAAATAACCACACTTTATATTCTCTGGCCTTGGGAAAACTGACTTCCTTGGAAGGCAGTTTAAGGGGATTCTCTCCACCTGCCCTGCCCTCAGGTGAGACCATATCATCTACAATCAGGCCCTTCTCATACCCTGTCTCCTCATCTGCTTTTCCTTTATACCATCTAGACAACTGACATGATGTATTTGTTGTCTTTCTCTTCAGCTCCACAAGACCAAGGATTTCCATTGTTTGGTTTTGTTTTCTGCCACATCCACAGTGCTAGAACAGTGCTGTGTACCTAACACTGCAGTTACTCCATAAGAATTTGTAAATAAGTGACCAATTTAGGCCATTAACATATTTTAGTAACGTAGTACTAAAATAATAAAAAATGTCATGCATTACTAAACTACCTATGCATACATTGATCTTAATAATTCACAATAAGAAGGTAATTTACATATTTTACAATAATACTCAACTATTTTTCTTATCTACCCATGTTTAGGAAGAATGGCTTAGGAAGAGTTAATGTAAAAAAAATCATTATTTTTGGTAGATGTCCTCTGAAATTTAGTATGTTATCTGTGACTCTATAGAGCAGGTCAATTTTTGATGACTGAAGAAGGTATTTTAAGACTGAATTATCCTGTTGGATTGATCAGAAAACCACTCTGCTCAGAATGAGACACTGCATGTGCAAAAATGTTTCTTCTATGGCTCTAAGTTAGACTATTGATATTTTTTTTGGAAATTATCCAGGCCAAAGTCATTTTGGACACTCCCTATATCATAGATATTCATTTACTTCTTAGAGTGAATCTTAAACTCTAGTGAATCTTAAACTCTACATAAAGAAAGAAATGTGAACTTGCTTGGAACTAGTCCCTTTATTGGCTCAGCGTTGAGATACTATGGCTACGGCAGTGGTTCCCAACAGACAGCAATTTTGTCCCCCAGGGGACATTTGGCAGTATCTGGAGATAGCTCTGTTTTTCATAACTCAGGTGTGTGTGTGTTTAAGAGCTACTAGCACCTATTGGGTAGTGGCCAGGGATGCTGCCAAACATTCAGTAATCCACAGGATGGCCTCCCACAGCACAGGATTATCTGGTCCCAAATGTTAACCATGCCAAGGCTGAGAAACTTTTGCCTAGCAGACTGTTGGGTTGCTCCATTTTCACAAAAAGATATTACTATTATCTCTCATTTAATTTTTAAAACACCAGTTCCCTAATGTGACTGAGATAAAGAATCACATAAAAAACTTTTTTTAAAAAGAAATAGGAAAAATTAGATAACTGGCTCCACTGTAAACCTAAATGAGAATATCTGTAGGCTGGGCAAGAAATTTGTACTTTTTAAAAGTTTTACAAGTAATTCCCATGTACTCTGTTTCCTGACTGGCATTTGGAAACTACTGCTTAAGGTAATGAATCTACTTCTAATCAGCACCAAAAGACCCCTCACTTCTAACTTTCTACCCAAAGGCCATAATTCTGAGCTCTCTGCTGTATAGCTTTTATAGAAGTCAAATTGAGATAAATATTAATGAAGGAACATGCAATACATCTAATCCCTGAATCAGGCTGAACCACTGGGAAACTTGGCTTAGAAAAGATTTGTTTTTACTGAGTTGAAATGTGTTGTTTCATGTTCACAGAAGGACAAAATTACAGTCTTTTTTAAACATGTTATTTCATTTGCTGTAGGGATGTTATTAAAGCAAGGAGCTACTATATCTTTCTATGACTTTATCTACTACATTTCTCAGTGTATCAACATGAATGAATCAAGAGTGGGAAATATATTTCTTCTTCTCAAGGAACTGCTTTTTGTTTTCTCATTAAAAGTAAAGATGACATAATTAATTGACTGTGTTTTTTTCTCTTTCTCTTAGCCACAAGGCTATTCAGGGCTAATACTGAGTTTAGTGGGAATATGTGGCATATGAACATGGTTATTTGCATTTTTCTCAGTGTTACTGCTGTAGTACTTCACATCATTACTTTAAGTTCCACCAAATTCATTGCCCAACAAGATGGGGATAAATGAATATTTTCTACAAACTTAACTTTACAAAAAGGAAATAAGGAACATACCAATTTGATGTTTTAAAATTAAAGTAACATTAAAACTCATTCACTATCAGTATCAGTGAACGCAAGCATTTGTGTTCTACTTTCATAAACTCTAAAAGTATTTTTTAACCTCAAAGAGTTGTATACTAAATGAATAGTTAAAAATCCTGTTTCTATAAAATGTCATAGTTTATGAACTTAAAAAAATAACTTAAAGTTTATTTTTAAAATTTCATAAAACTTTGAAGTATAGGTTTGTTTACTATTGAAGAGAATTCAGTGATATATGTACATCCATCACCAATTAAATTCTAGAAAAATGTGCACTTGCATAGTCAAATGTTCTGATCTTACAGGCACATATTGAACCATATGTATCACAAATTATAGGTTGGCTTCCATGTTTATGATTACTATAGCAAACATAATTATTACATATTAGGACAAAATGTGAGAACCTCTACCTTCAAATTTACAAAATGTAAACTCACTTACATTCAACGTTTTCTGGAAATTTTCTGTGAATATCTTTATAAGTATCTAATGCTTTCTGGTAGTTACCTATAAACAAAAAAGGAAAAACACACTAGCAGATTATAGATACTAGGATTCTGCAAAGTATTAGTTTTAATTCAATATACTGTCACCATTTAATTGGCTTAGTAAGAAGACTTTCATGTTTGCCACAAGCACGTATAACCAATCTTAATACAACATCTGGAAGACAATGTACAGATAAAAGATATTTGAAAAAGGGACAGAGCAGAATTAAATGAGTGATGGATGAAACTTACTTCTAATTTTTAAAATACATATGTTAGTGGTAAAAAATTAAGATCTATTCAATTTCCTAGAAATTAAAGATTATTTCAGATGAACACTGACAAATTTAAAAATAATTTAAGTGATAGACTAACATTACTTCAATGTCATTCACTAAGAAAAGATAAAAAATAATTTTTTTGTAGTTTTTATTTTGAAACAGTTTATAGAAAGCATTTTGTTTTATAATAAAATAATTTCACTTAGCAGCAAAGAATAGGAAAAATTAATTTTGGATCAAATATCTTTATGAAAATTGCAGTAAACAAGTTATGAATCTCTCTCTGGGCCTCACTGTATAAGAAGGATGGCTGTGCTAACCCTCAAAGAGTCACTGTGAGAACTAAATGAAATAGAGACAGGAAGCATCTAGCACACACAGCTTCTCAATAAATGTTCGCTTCTATTCTCCTAACCTGCACTTCAACAACTCAAGAAAGCTTGTCTTTAAATCATTCAGAATACCTCATATACACGTACACTTTACATCTGACTACCACTGATATAAATATATATATAGTACTGTTATGTTGTATATCCAACAGGAAATACAGTAATATGAAGGTCAACCCTTTAAATGATTTGAGGCCTACTGATGCCTTTCTGAAGGAGCTCACAGAGATGAAAAAAAGACACCTCCTACAACAATTACCACTTGCAGAATCTGTGCTTCCCTAGGATGGAAGAATTTATTTCCCCGGATCATTTGTATGCTCTATGAAATGGATTACAAACGTGTTAACATTTATCTCCCTACTTAATCTCTGATGTTTAAACAATATTCATATCACAGTTACTCCAAACCTATTAATGTCTCTCCATACTTCAGGATAAGTGTCAGCAGTACAGGATGTAATAAAAACCGTTACTGAAAACACAAACAAAAATATCTAGTGATATTTGGAATAAAAAAATATAGTCCCAGTTGCTCCAGTTCTAGACTTCCCTCAGGCTTTTCGGCTGTGAGATAGTCTCATAAATTACACAAAAGTATCTAGAATTGGGTGACTGGAAAGTGAATAAATAACTTAATGTATACAGAATGTCTATTTTTCTGTGGCTAACTTGTGAAAATGAGTACATGTTAACTTTAAGAAATAGGAATCTGTTTTTAACAGTAGTGATGGAGTACATGATTAAAACCCACTTTGTGAGCATAATTTTTTTCTGCACATAGTAATTATGTTTTTCACATAATGCTTCAAATATGTGTGGTTATTGAAAGTTAGTGTTTTAATAAACAAATATGCAATTGGAACACATTTATATGAATAATTACTTAAAAAATCAAAAGAAGAAAAATATATTAAAAATGAATAAAATTAAAGCACTTGCCACTTCTTCTAAAACAACTAGCTATCATCAGCTGCCATTTCACTTGTGTAGGCCTATAAAAGAAAAAAATTATATGAAATTAGAATAGTCAGGTTTTTTTATTATATGAAATTAGAATAGTCAGGTTTTTTTATTAAGGTACCATTGATATATACTTTTATGAAGGTTTCACAGAAAACAATGTGGTTACTACATTCACCCGTATTATCGAGTACCCCCACACCCCATTGCAGCCACTGTCCATCAGTGTAGTAAGATGCCACAGTCACTATTTGTCTTCTCTGTGCTACACTGTCTTCCCTGTGACCCCCCACACACTATGTGTACTAATCATAATACCCCTCAATCTCCTTCTCCCTCTCTCCCAACCTGCCCTCCCACACCCCTTCCCTTTGGTAACCACTAGTCCCTTCTTGGAGTTTGTGATTCTGCTGCTGTTTTGTTCCTTCAGTTTTGCTTCATTGTTATACTCCACAGATGAGGGAAATCATTTGGTATTTATTTGTCTTTCTCTGCCTGGCTTATTTCACTGAGCATAATACCCACTAGCTCCACTCATGTTGCTGCAAATGGTAGGATTTGTTTCTTTCTTATGGCTGAATAATATTCCATGGTGTATATGTACCACCTCTTCTTTATCCATTCATCAACTGATGGAAACTTAGGTTGCTTCCATATTGTGACTACTGTAAATAGTGCTGCAATAAACATAGGGGTGCATATGTCTTTTTGAATCTGAGAACTTGTATTCTTTTGGTAAATTCCTAGGAGTGGAATTCCTGGGTCAATTGGTATTTCTATTTTTAGTTTTTTGAGGAACCTCCACATTTCTTTGCACAATGGTTGAATTAGCTTACATTTCCATCAGCAGTGAAGGAGGGTTACCCTTTCTTTACATCCTTGCCAGCAATTGTTGTTCCACGTCTTTTGGATGTTGGCCATCCTAACTGGTGTGAGGTGATATCTCATTGTGGTTTTAATTTGCATTTCCCTGATAATTAGCAATGTGGAGCATCTTTTCATATGCCTGTTGGACATCTGAATTTCTTCTTTGAAGAATTGCCTGTTTGTACCCTCCACCCATTTTTTATTTGGGTTATTTGCTTTTTGGGTGTTGAGGCATGTGAGTTCTTTATATATTTTGGACGTTAACCCCTTGTCGGATATGTCATTTACAAACATATTCTCCCATACTGTAGGATGCCTTTTAGTTCTGCTGATAGTGTCCTTTGCTGTACAGAAGATTTTTGGCTTGATGTAGTCTCATTTTTTCATTCTTGCTTTTGTTTCCCTTGCCTGAGGAGATGTGTTCAGGAAAAGTTGCTCCTGTTTATATTCAAGAGACTTTTGACTATGTTTTCTTCTAAGAGTTTTATGGTTTTATGACATGCATTCAGGTCTTTGAACCATTTTGAGTTTACTTTTGTGTATGGGGTTAGACAGTAATCTAGTTTCATTTTCTTGCATGTAGCTGTCCAGTTTTGCCAACACCAGTTGTTGACAAGGCTGTCATTTCCTTATTGTATGTCCATGGCTCCTTTATCATATATTAATTGACCATATATGCTTGGGTTTCTATCTGGGCTCTCTAGTCTGTTCCATTGGTCTATGGGTCTGTTCTTGTGCCAGCATGAAATTGTCTTAATTATTGTGGCTTTGTATTGGAGCTTAAAGTCAGGGAGCATAATCCCCGAGGATAGTCAAACTGCTTTATAAAAAAGCTATATATTTGTACTATCTTCAAATTACTCTCTTGACCTTTGATAAGATCAACTCTATTATTGAATATAGTGTATATACAACTTCCTTCATTATTACATGTCATATTTATATTAAGAAATTTAAATTTAGGAGTCCTTCAGTCTAGTTCATGCCTTTATTTAGATATTCCTATAAGAGCCAATTAGCTTGTTTGGTGAAAAGCCACTGCATTCTGGTTTAACATTATATTTGCCTCTTGCCATCATCTTACACTTTGGCTTAGTACATAAGGCTTAGAAATTTAGGTATATTGTAGTACCCCAGAGGCAATTTTTGAAATTGTGTTTGAACTATTAGGCTGCAATGAAAGAGAGTAAAAGAAGAACTCTATTAATCCTTTACTTTCCCTTAAAAAGAAATGAATTAAATGTCTAAAATAAATAACCATTTCCAGAATTTCTAAAGACTACTGTCAAAAATATGTAGGATAAGTAAGATTTGAAGAAATAAAAGACTAGGAAACAACTTAGTGCTCTTCTTACTTCTTTTTAGATTCCCCCTACCTCATGGCTTCAAGGACAGATAGCTTGATTTGATGGCAAACCTACCAGTTTTGGAATCAGATGAAACTGGCAATTAAATCACAGACCCGTTACGTGGGCAAGTTACTTAGCCTCAGATCTACCTCCTATACACTATCCACTTTGATCTAAATAAAGTACATACCTAACGATATTACTTCCATCCTTAAAACCTATCATTTCCCCTCCAAATATAAATCCAAGATACCAATCTATTTCATCCATTCACAGTCATTTTCTCCCTCTCCAACTCATCTTCCACGATGCTCTGCCTAACACTTCATGCTGCAGCAAATCCAAACAGGAGCATGGAGTTCCCTGCATCTACTCCATTTTCTGGACTCCTTGTCTTCACACATACCATCACCTCTACTTGGAGACTCACTCCAATCTCTTTGAACTTCCATGCCAGGTGAGATTCAGCTGTTCTAAGTGCTCTCCTAACACCCTAGAAGCTCTTTAGCACTACATTTACTAAACTGCATTACTATTTTTGTTTCTAGGTACCTTATTATGCTCTTTATAGATTTCTGAGGGTGGGATAGGCTTTATATCCCCAGGACCTGGCATGATGCCTTGTACATACTGGGTGATCATTAATCATTAATTCTTCCTCCTTTGCATATTCAAGCACACAGCTTTAGTATTTGCCCAAGGGTGTGATTATAATTTTTAGTTTGGTAACCTGTTACTTCTATGAACTAGATAAATTATTTAAAATTATGCCTCTGTTTCCTCACCTAAAAAATGGGGATAGTAATAGTATCTACTTCAGAGGGGAGTTGTGAGGATTAAGTAATATAATACATGTAAACAGTAAACATTAGTTGCTACTATTATAACCACTTCTTTCTTTCTTCTTTAAAAAAGCTTTATTTCCTAAGTGGCACCTATTTGGAAATTTAAAAAAAAAGAGACACTGGAGCAGTTGTTAAGTGGTATGTGTGTGTATATATGTGGGCATTCTTATGGGGAAAATGGATTAATTATTTTTGACCACTAAAGTAGCCCAGTGAACAGAAGAGGAACAGAGCTCAGTGACTTAATGTTAATAAAGTATTAGGTAACATTCTAGATTATTTATTCTTGTTGACTATAACTATAGATGATCTGTGAAAATGCTTTCTCCTACTAGCACAGATGATTGAGCACTGACATGATCTATATGATCATCAAAAGATTTTATGCATTATAATAGTTTAAAAACTTCCATGTATAATAAATGTAACAAAGAAAAATTTAGGACATGAGATAAATGTATTTTATTAATCATCTTCAGAATTAAATTGCTACATTCCTAGTTTACTTTTAGTAACTGGAGGGTGCCCAGGCACTATTAATGTAGGACAGGAAAGTTTTACATAAAAGCAAATAAATAAAGCTGATTGTTTTACCTTCTATCTGTTTTACCATCAGAACCTAGTTTAGGAATAAAAAGTCAAGTGTATTTCCTGAATGAACGCCTACTTCTCTCCTCAATCCTCTCAGTAAAGAAAAATACTATTTTACAGATACTACATTTAAGTGACATAAAATAATTACTTAGACATACTGATTAAAAATGCAGCCCCCAAATTTCAGAAAATTGATTATAAATTACCTAGTAGAGCAAAATGAATGTTTTAAGTATTTTAAATCTGCAACTAGTTGGCTTTAATTAAAGAATTATGGAATTTTAGAAGTCAGATAGCAATTTTATCCATTCACCTTAAAGGAGAAGGAAATAGACCCAGGCAAGACTGAGAGTTATGTCTAAGGTATACTCCCGATAGTATTCACCAGCATAATGTCCCAGACAAAGCCCTTATTTCACATTTCCAGAAAGCAATGAGAGTTGCAATTTGAAAATCACAGGGGAGAACTGTTACCTCCCGTATTTGGAATAAGTAAGCACCAGACAGACAGTCACGACTTCTGGTTCAAGATGGAAGAGTAAAGACTTTTTACCTCACAATGTCTTTTCTGGAAATTAACCCCTCAAGAAGAATGGGAAAGATAAACCTGAACTCCATCTCAGATGAAACTCAAAACATACAAAACCATATACAACCATAAGCAAATGGTGGACAATAGATGAAGGACAAAGAAAGGTAAAACTCATTTGCTTACAAAAAGCATACTGAGGAGAAACACACCAGTCTTTACTGAAAATCAACAGAAATGCTCAAGAATTGGCATCATGAGCATTGAGGAAGGAAGGAGTAAGGTGTGGAAATACTAAGGGAAAACAGACTGAGAGTGGAAATCTGATTGAAAAGTAGCTGGACCTGCACTCTGCAGAGAGGCAATAAGCCCTCATGCTCAACAGTTGCTCAGAAAGGCCCCAGCCTAGGGGCTTAAGCAGGTGGGGGTGCTGGAATGAAAAGGGCATGGAATTTTGTCCAATGTCTTTTCTGCATTAATTGAGGTGACCATGTGTTTTTTTCCTTCGTTCTATTAGCATGGTATGTTATATTGATATTCATATGCTGAACCATCCTTGCATTCTGGGAATAAATCCCACATTAATTCTTCTAATATACTGCTGAATTTGGCTTGCTAGTATTTTGCTGATGATTTGTGCATCATACTCATCAGGGATATTGGTCTGTAATTTCTTATAGTGTCTTTGTCCAGATTTGGCATCAGGATAATGCTGTCTTTATAGAATGAGTTAGGAAATGTGTGTCTTACTCAGGGCTCTCCAGAGAAACAGAATCAATATGATACACACACACACACACACACACACACACACACACACACACACACACACACAGGCATATACATAT